CTGATTGCTGTGGCTAGGACTTCCAAAACTATGTTGAGTAAGAGTGGCGAGAGTGGACATCCTTGTCTTGTTTCTGATCTTAGAGGAAATAGTTTCAGTTTTTCACCATTGACAATGATGTTTCCTGTGGGTTTATCATCTGTGGCCTTTGTTATGTTGAGGTAGGTTCCCTCTATGCCCACTTTCTGGAGAGTTTTTATCATAAATGGGTGTTGAATTTTGTCAAAAGTTTTTTCTGCATCTATTGAGATGACCATATGGTTTTTATCCTTCAGTTTGTTAAATGGTGTATCACATTGATTGATTTGCATATATTGAAGGATCCTTGCATCCCTGGGATAAATCCTGCTTGATCATGGTGTATGATTCTTTTAATGTGTTGTTGGATTCTGTTTGCTAGTATTTTGTTGAGGATTTTTGCATCTATATTCATCAGTGATATTGGTCTGTAATTTTCCTTTTTTGTAGTACCTTTGTCTGGTTTTGGTATCAGGGTGATTGTGGCCTTGTAGAATGAGTTTGGGAGTGTTCCTTCCTGTGCAGTTTTTAGGAAGAGTTTGAGAAGGATGGGTGTTAGCGCTTCTCTAAATGTTTGATAGAATTCCCCTGGGAAGCTATCTGGTCCTGGACTTCTGTTTGTTGGACGATTTTTTTTTGTGTCTTTTGTTTTGTTTTTTGTAGTACGTGGGCCTCTCACTGTTGTGGCCTCTACAGTTGCGGAGTATAGGCTCCAGACGCACAGGCTCAGCGGCCATGGCTCACGGGCCTAGCCGCTCCGTGGCATATGGGATCTTCCCGGACCGGGGCACGAACCCATGTCCCCTGCATCAGCAGGCGGACTGTCAACCACTGCACCACCAGGGAAGCCCTGTTGGACGATTTTTAATCACAATTTCAATTTCATTGTTTGTGATTGGTCTGTTTATATTTTCTGTTTCTTCCTGGTTCAGTCTTGGAAGGTTATACCTTTCTACAAATTTGTCCATTTCTTCCAGGTTGTCCATTTTATTGGCATCGAATTGCTTATAGTAGTCCCTCTTGATGCTTTGTATTTCTGCGGTGTCTGTTGTAACTTCTCCTTTTTCATTTCTAATTTTATTGATTTGAGTCCTCTCCCTCTTTTTCTTGATGAGTCTGACTAAAGGTTTATCAATTTTGTTTATCTTCTCAAAGAACCAGCTTTTAGTCTTATTGATATTTGCTATTGTTTTCTTTGTTTCTATTTCATTTATTTCTGCTCTGATCTTTATGATTTCTTTTCTTCTGCTAACTGTGGGTTTTGTTTGTTCTTCTTTCTCTGGTTCCTTTAGGTGTAAGTTTAGATTTTTTATTTGAGATTTTTCTTGTTTCTTGAGATAGGATTGTATTGCTACAAACTCCCCTCTTAGAACTGCTTTCACTGAATCCCATCCATTTTAGATCGTAGTGTTTTCATTGTCATTTGCCTTTAGGTATTTTTTGATTTCCTCTTTGATTTCTTCAGTGATCTCTTGGCTATTTAGTAACGTATTGTTTAGCCTCCATGTGTTTGTGTTTTTTACATTTTTTCCCTGTAATTTATTTCTAATCTCATTGCATTGTGGTTGGAAAAGATATGACTGATACGATTTCAATCAAATCAAGGAAATCATTAATATGATTTCAGTTTTCTTAAATTTACCAAGGCTTGATTTGTGACCCAAGATGTGATCTGTTCTGGAGAATGTTCTGTGTGCACTTGAGAAGAAAGTGTAATCTGCTGTTTTTGGGTGGAATGTCCTATAAATGTCAATTAAATGTATCTGGTCTATTGTGTCATTTAAAGCTTGTGTTTCCTTATTAATTTTCTGTTTGGATGATCTGTCCATTGGTGCCAGTGTGGTGTTAACGTCCCCCACTGTTATTTTTTTTTTCCCCCCACTGTTATTGTGTTGCTGTCAATTTCTTCTTTTATAGCTGTTAGCATTTGCCTTATGTGTTGAGGTGCTCCTATGTTGGGTGCATATGTATTTATAATTGTTATATTTTCTTCTTGGATTGATCCCTTGATCATTATGTAGTGTCCTTCCTTGTTTCTTGTAACATGCTTTATTTTAAAGTCTATTTTATCTGGTATGAGTATTGCTACTCCAGCTTTCTTTTGATTTCCATTTGCATGGAATATCTTTTTCCATCCCCTCACTTTCAGTTTGTATGTGTCCCTAGGTCTGAAGGGGGTCTCTTGTAGACAGCATATATATGGGTCTTGTTTTTGTATTGATTGAGCAAGCCTGTGTCTTTTGGTTTGAGCCTTTTATCCATTCACGTTTAAGGTAATTATCGATATGTATGTTCCGATGACCATTTTCTTAATTGTTTTGGGTTTGTTTTTATAGGTTCTTATCTTCTCTTGTCTTTCCCAGTTAGAGAAGTTCCTTTAGCATTTGTTGTAGAGCTGGTTTGGTGGTGCTGAATTCTCTTAGCTTTTGCTTGTCTGTAAAGCTTTTGATTTCTCTGTCGAATCTGAATGAGATCCTTGCCGGGTAGAGTACTCTTGGTGTAGGTTCTTCCCTTTCATCACTTTAAGTATATCGTGCCACTCCCTTCTGGCTTATAGAGTTTCTGCTGAGAAATCAGCTGTTAACCTTATTGGAGTTCCCTTGTATGTTATTTGTCATTTTTCCTTTGTTGCTTTTAATAATTTTTCTTTGTCTTTAGTTTTTGTCAATTTGATTACTATGTGTCTTGGCATGTTTCTCCTTGGGTTTATCCTGCCTGGGACTCTGTGCTTCCTGGACTTGGGTGGCTGTTTCCTTTCCCATGTTAGGCAAGTTTTCAACTATAATCTCTTCAAATATTTTCTCGTGTCCTTTCTCTCTCTCTTCTCCTTCTGACACCCCTGTAATGTGAATGTTGGTGTCTGCATTTCTTTTCATTATTTTTTCTTATTCTGTTCTGTGGCAGTGAATTCTGTCATTCTGTCTTCCAGGTCACTTATCTGTTATTCTGCCTCAGTTATTCTGCTATTGATTCCTTCTAGTGTGTTTTTCATTTCAGTTATTGTATTGTTCATCTCTGTTTGTTTGTTCTTTAATTCTTCTTGGTCTTTGTTAAACATTTCTTGCATCTTCTTGATCTTTGCCTCCATTCTTTTTCCGAGGTCCTGGATCATCTTCACTGTCATTATTCTGAATTCTTTTTCTGGAAGGTCGCCTATCTCCACTTCATTTAGCTGTTTTTCTGGGGTTTTATCTTGCTCCTTCATCTGGTACATAGTCCTCTGCCTTTTCATTTTGTCTATTGTTCTGTGAATGTGGTTTTCTTTCCACAGGCTGCAGGACTGTAGTTCTTCTTGCTTCTGCTGTCTGCCCTCTGGTGGATGAGGCTATCTAAGAGGCCTGTGCAAGCTTCCTGATGGGAGGGACTGGTGGTGGGTAGAGCTGGGTGTTGCTCTGGTGGGCAGAGCTCAGTAAAGCTTTAATCCACTTGTCTGCTGATGGGTGGGGCTGAGTTCCCTCCCTATTGGTTGTTTGGCCTGAGGCGACCCAGCACTGGAGCCTGCAGGCTCTTTGGTGGGGCTAATGGCGGACTCCAGGAGGGCTCATGCCAAGGAGTACTTCCCAGAACTTCTGCTGCCAGTGTCCTTGTCCCCGCGGTGAGCCACAGCCGCCCCCCGCCTCTGCAGGAGACCCTCCAACACTAGCAGGTAGGTCTGGTTCAGTCTCCTATGGGGTCACTGCTCCTTCCCCCTGGGTCCTGTTGCGCACACTACTTTGTGTGTGACCTTCAAGAGTGGAGTCTGTTTCCCCCTGTCCTGTCAAAGCCTTGCAATCAAATCCCAGTAGCCTTCAAAGTCTGATTCTCTGGTAATTCCTCCTCCTGTTGCTGGACCCCCAGTTTGGGAAGCCTGACGTGGGGCTCAGAACCTTCAATCCAGTTGGTGGACTTCTGCGGTATAAGTGTTCTCCAGTTTGTGAGTCACCCACCCAGCGGTTATGGGATTTGATTTTATTGTGATTGCGCCTCTCCTACTGTCTCACTGCGGCTTCTCCTTTGTCTTTGGATGTGGGGTATCTTTTTTGGTGAGTTCCAGTGTCTTCCTGTCGATGATTGTTCAGCAGTTAGTTGTGATTCCGGTGCTCTTGCAAGAGGGAGTGAGCGCACGTCCTTCTACTCCGCCATCTTGAACCAATCTCCAGTAATGAGAAATTTTTAAAACCATCCGATTTTGTTCAGATTTCTAATGCATTGTGATGATCAACTCTTCCTTATATATGCCTGATGTAATATGAATGATTATATCTTATAATACAGTTTCAAGGTTTTATTTATTTATTTATTTTTTAACGTCTTTATTGGAGTATAATTGCTTTCACTTTGAAGCTTTTAATGAAGAGTATCATTCTCATTCTCTTAGTGGATAGCCAAGTTCCCCCAAATCAGATCCCATTGATCATGCATTGTTTTGTTAAGATTAATGTTTAAATAATGCTCTTAATTTGCTACGGAATTTACTAAATTTGCTGAGATCAAATTTCCTAACGTAGTTTCCTGTACATTCCTGTGGAGAAGTACAGGACTGACTAAGCCTATTGAAGAAACTATGTTGTTTCTTTAAAAGTGGTTTCTCAAGCTTGAGATGCAGATATGGGGTGAGAAAACTTAAGGAAACTCCATTTGAGAGTCCTTGTTGATGTATCTAGCAGAAGCATTTTGATGTTTGGTTCTTTTCTCCTTATTTGGAGACATCTTCTGTTTCTATTGTATATAAGATATAAGGTATTAATAATGTAATTGATCAGCATGGCAGCATAACTTTTGATCCCCTTAGTAAATTAATAATAAGCTTTAGAGGTCATTTAAGTTGTAGATATAAACCGTTAAATAATTTAATGCTTATTTTTTCAACAGATGTGAACTATTAAAAAGAAAATGGCCCAACGGAGCACTGTATTTCCTTCTCTTGTCACCGAGGAAAGGTATAATATATGGAAAATATGCATCTAAGGTATACTTTTTCTTTCCACCAATTCCATGAGGGCTATTAGTGGGTGTGATCATTATAAAAGGAGCCTTGTGGCTGTTACATTATCCAACAATGACTTTTTTCGAGGGCAAGAGTAGTACTGTTGTGTCCCGTCTCTGGCTTCTAAGTTGTAGGATACTGTGCACTATTCAGTGGCCCTGACAGGTGGAGATTTCACAGTAGCCCTTCAGTACAGTTGCACTTCTGGTCAACAGTGAAATGTACCTCTGGAGGTTTGGGGGCTGATACCCCTGCTCACCCTTTTATTTATTTATTAAAAAAAATTTATTTGTTTGGTTGCACTGGGTCTTAGTTGCGGCAGGTGGGCTCGTTAGTTGAGGCACACGAACTTAGTTGCAGCATGCATGTGGGATTGAGTTCCCTGACCAGGGATTGAACTTGGGCCCCCTGCATTGGGAGCGCAGAGTCTTAACCACTGCGCCACCAGGGAAGTCCCCCTGCTAACCCTTTTATTTATTTTTATTTTTTAAAATAAATTTATTTATTTATTTATTTATGGCTGTGTTGCATCTTTGTTCTGCTCATGGGCTTTCTCTAGTTGCGGCGAGCGGGGGCTACTCTTTGTTGCAGCGCGTGGGCTTCTCATTGTGGTGGCTTATCTTGTTGTGGAGCACAGGCTCTAGGCGCGCGAGCTTCAGTAGCTGTGGCACGCAGGCTCAGTAGTTGTGGCTCGTGGGCTTTAGAGCGCAGGCTCAGTAGTTGTGTGGCACAGGCTTAGTTGCTCCATGGCAGGTGGGATCTTCCTGGACCAAGGCTTACACCTGTGTCCCCTGCATTGGCAGGTGGAATCTTAACCACTGTGCCACCAGGGAAGTCCCTGCTAACCCTTTTAAATCAGAAGTGGCGTGTCCATAGGCCAGAATTGGCTCATAGAAGTACATTGTTTGGCCTGGATCATCTTAAATACTTTTTTAATGAATTGTTAACATTTTAAGAAATCAGGTGACTTCACATACAAGCCTACATTTCCTGCCTCTTATTGAAATATCACATGACCTGGAAAAATGGATCTGCATTCCCAGATGGTCACTCATGGGTGGAGCAGAATTGTGGCTCCCTTTAGTTGAGGAATGCCCTGTCAGTTCTCCAAAGTCCCCACCACTCCCTAGTGTATTCTCTGCGGTATGCTTCACTCATTTATGTCCCCTGCCTGACCCTTGTAAGCATTTGAGTTTGTAGCCACTGCTTTAGAGGGAGGGAGGAGAAGGGCAGGTCCAGCAATTTTGTTAATAAGCTTTGATCTTTCAGCCTCTTGCTTTGGGAGGTCATGGAGCCCGCTACCAGCGCACTTAACTCTCTGGGGACCATTGTTTAAAGTTGCTGCCTGGCTCACCAAGAAAACTCTTTGCGGGTAGAAACCCTGCCTCAAATCCCCTTTAGCTTGTAGGGATAGATAATTTGCCTCTCCTTTTCTGGGAAGTCTTGAATCTGGCTTTAAAAATGACTGTTTCCCAATTGACAACCCTAACAATGTGGGGCTCCCTTCCGTAGGCGAGTTAGAACGATGCCCCGACACAGCCAGTCCCTGACCATGGCACCCTACTCATCCGTAAGCCTAGTGGAGCAACTGGAAGACAGGATCCTCTGCCACGAGAAAACCACGGCCGCCCTCGTGGAGCATGCCTTCCGGATCAAAGACGACATCGTCAACAGCTTGCAGAAAATGCAAAACAAAGGGGGAGGTGACCGCTTGGCCAGGCTTTTCTTGGAGGAGCACATCAGAAACATAACTGCCATAGTGAAGCAACTGAATCGGGATATCGAGGTAAGGCGTGTGGAAGTCAGGTGGGCTGTGTTCCTTTCCACAGACCTGTTCCATGTCTACTGCCTCCCTCCCAAGCAGTACTGTGTTCAGACCAAAGCTGTCTGTCTTGTCTAGTCTTAAGGATTGCCAAGGAAACAGCTTGGACAAATATATTAAATGTATTCCAGTTTTTGATAGCAGTTACTGTCAGTGTTATTTGTGTTTAATCTCAGTGTACCTTGCTGATTACTAAATCACTTTTGTTTTGTTTGGCTCTCAAGGGAAAGAGAGGAGAACCAGTCCGATAGTTTCCCTGTAATACCCTTCATGTAGCTGAAGACAGCTATTAAATCAATTACTAGGTCAGCCTTTGCTGCTTCAGATTAAATGTTTCTAGGTCATAATGATTATATATAATACAGTTTATTACTCAGACAATCTAGGGATGTGAATCGCTTCTCGGACTCCCTTTTATTGCTTTATTTTTCTCTAAAATGAACCCAATAAAAAGCCAATATTGTCTATTTTTAGAGTTTGTAAATATACTGGTTTTTATTGAGCAGTCGCAGGGACCACAGAATTTAATTCAGAAAGCTTAAGATCATTTAGGGCCTGGGCTAACGTCACTGAATAATGTCAGTATCCTATATGTGTAGTTTGAAAATGTATGAATAAAAGATATATGACTAGATTAAGGAAAATCTTTATTTCACATCATGGCGATTGTTTTTTTTTTTTTTTTTGGCTGTGCCACGCAGCTTGTGGGATGTTAGTTCCCCATCCAGGGATTGAACCCGCTCCCTCAGCAGTGAAAGCGTGGAGTCCTAACCACTGGACCACCAGGGAATTCCCTGGATATTGTATTTTAGTTAGGCTTCCTGAAATCAAGACTCATTTTTTTCCAATGTCAGATTTGTGTTTATTTATTTTAATAGCTTTACTGAGGTATAACTTAAAAGCCACAAAAATCCACCCATTGTAAGTGTACAATTTGTGCAACCATCAACACAGTTCAGTTGTAAAACCTTTCAATCACTCCGCAAATTTATATAAGCCTGTTTGCCGATAATCCCTCCTTCTACCCCAGACCCAGGCAACCACTAATCTGCTTTCTGTCTCTATAAGTAATTTGTCTTTTCTGAACATTTTGTATAAATGGAATCTTACAGTCTGAAGTCTTTTGCATCCGGCTTCTTGCACTTAGCATAATCTTTTTGAGGTTCAGCCATGTTCTGGCATGTATCAATATTTCATTTATATTTATGTCCCAGTAGTATCCTATTGTATGGATATGCAGCATTCCTTTTATCCGTTTATTAGTTGATGGACATTTGGGTTGTTTCCAGTTTTCAGCTATTGTGAATAAAGCTGCTGTGAACGTGTGTACACGTCTTTGTGTGGAGATATATTTTCATTTCTCTTGGGTAAATTGCGAGGTGTGGACTTGCTGAGTCTTGCAGAAAGCTTGTGTTTAACTTTTTAAAACATAGCCAAACAATTTTCCAAAGTGGCTATACCATTTTACAATCCTACCAGCAATGTGTGAGGGTTCCAGTTTCTCCACATCCTCACCAACACTTGCTATTATCTGTCTTTTTGATGATAGTCATTATAGTGGATGTGTAGTGGTATTTCGTTGCACTATTAATTTGCGTTTCCCTAATGACTAATGATGTTGAGCACTTTTTCATGTCCTTATCAGTCATTTGTGTGTCTTCTTTGGTAAAGTGTCTACTCGAGTCTTCTGCCCATTTTTAAAAATTATTTTTTTATTGTGTGTAAGATATTTATCACTTTAACCATTTTAAAGTGCGCAGTTCTTTGACGTTAATTACATTCACAGTGTTGTATGCAACCATCACCACTATCGGTTTTCAAAACTTTTCGATTGTCCCAAACAGAAACTCTGTTCCCACTAAACAATAATTCTCCATTCCACTCTCACCTCAAGCCCCAGGTGACCTCTGTTCTACTTTCTGTCTCTATGAATTTCCCTATTCTAGGTTTATCACATAAGTGCAATCACACAATATTTGCCCTTTTGTGTCTGGGTCATTTCACTTAGCGTAATGTTTTCAAGATTTATCCATGTTGTAGCATGTGTCAGAACCCATTTTTTTTTAATTTAGCAATTTATTTATTTTTTATAAATTTATTTATTTAGTTTTGGCTGCGTTGGGTCTTCATTGCTGCACGCGGGTTTTCTCTAGTTGCGGCGAGCGGGGGCTACTCTTCGTTGCGGTGCGCGGGCTTCTCGTTGCAGTGGCTTCTCTTGTTGCGGAGCACGGGCTCTAGGTGCACGGGCTTCAGTAGTTGTGGCACATGGGCTCAGTAGTTGTGGCTCATGGGCTCTACAGCGCAGGCTCAGTAGTTGTGGCGCACGAGCTTAGTTGCTCTGCGGCATGTGGGACCTTCCCGGACCAGGGCTCGAACCCGTGTTCCCTGCATTAGCAGGTGGATTCTTAACCACTGTGCCACCAGGGAAGTCCCAGAGTCCATTTTTAAATTAGGTTATTTGTCTTGTTATTGAGTTGTAAATTTTCTTTATATAGTCTAAATACAGGTCCCTTATCAGATATGTGATTTGCAAAATATTTTCTCCCATTCTTTGGCTTGTATTTTCATTCTTCCGATGGTGTCTTTTGAAGCACAAATTTTACAAATTTTAATGAAGTCCAGCTTATCAGGTTCTTTTATGGTTTATATTTTTGGTGTTATGTCTTAAGAACTGTTTGCTTAACCCAAGGTCACAAGGCTTTTCTGCTCTGTTTACTTAAAAAGTTAATTTTAGTTTTTGCCTTTAGGTTTATGATCAGTTTAGGACTGACATTGTTTCTTTGCAAGTCTGTATCCCCTGATAGAATGGGAGCCCTTCAAAAAAGAAAAGGGTGGGATAGGGAGGGTGGGAGGGAGACGCAAGAGGGAGGGGATATGGGGATATAGGTATACGTATAAGCTGATACACTTTGTTATACAGCAGAAACTAACACAACATTGTAAAGCAATTATACTCTAATAAAGATGTTTAAAAAAAAAGAAAGGAGCTTTGTCTTACTCATCTTCACATTGTCCAGCACAATGTTTAGAGCAAAATGCCATGAATGCTTGTTAAGTGAATAAATGCCTATTTCAGACTGAAGCCCATTGCAGATCTTATGGTAGCAAAAAGAACTAGAAGAGACTCTGAGGTCATTTGTGCAAACTGCATCCTTTTCAGATGAGGCATCCTAGGCCCAGGGAAATGAAGAGACTTCTCTGAGATCTCAAGGCCAGTAAGTGGCAGTGGTGAGACGAAACCCAGACTGTTAAACTCCAAAGATAAGCTCCTTTCACTTTTCTACTTTGCCCCTTGGAAGCTCCTCTAGAACCCCGATCTTAGGTAACCAACTCTCAAATGTGACAGGCAGTGCTATTCAGTCATTCTCTGCTTTCTGAGTATTTCTGCTCCCTCAGGAAGAATTTCTTCATGAAACTAGGTAATTAAAGCTTTAGTTCTCACTGAGTTCTCCCCTGCCCCCTCATTCCTTTGGTGTGAGTTCATTGAACTGCTTAGATAATTACAGTTAATAGCAAACATACCTAGGAATCCAAAGTCATTAGTCATTTAGGCTTTTGCTAATTATTTTTCTTTAAGATGTGTTTTTAACACAATTTTTCTGTAATGTGTATTTAAGACGATTTTTAAATAATTTAAAATGCAGTGAGTTTTTCCATCTGAAACACATTTTATGTAATGATTATTCTTCCCTTAACCAGACAGCACTCTTCCATTTACATATATTTTTGGAGTGTGCAGTTTGCAAATGAATAGATGATTTCCGTTGTAGAGAGGGAAGTCTGAGTAAAATCTAATTCTGGAAAAAAATTTACTTTGCATATATGAGCATTTACTTTTTTGTAACTGGTAATAATTATATATCATTATAAAGTAACAGAAGAAAGTTTGGAAATTTAATAGACTTTTTTATGAAACACTAGTTACATAGTTTTATATGTATTGTGAGCCTAAGCATGTTTACCCAAACATAACCAAAATTAGGATGCTTAATGAGACATCAGAATTGTCACATTGTAGCCAAACTGTTAAAATGAAATCATGGTGTAGATTAAAAGTACTAAAAGGAAGTCTTTATATATAAGCAATATAAAATTAGGAGGATGGATGTTATGCAAAGGCAATATGCATATTTAAAGCAAAGAGATGTGAAGATCCTCAAATTGTATTTAAATGATATGAAAGGTGTATTTTTTGTCTATAGATTCTTAATGAATTTCTTCTGTAAGTTGCCTGGTTTTTAGGTTATTTTCATGACTGGTTTACACTGGTTTTTCAGTTCACTCAGTAAAATTTTACTGGGTGTTTGTTTTGTAAAAATCTGTCCCTGCAGGTGATTTTGTATTATAAAAGTAAAGCTGAAACCATTCTTGACATGTACAGCTCAGTCGAGGCTCCTGATAGAGCTAGTCGAATTGAGATATGTTAATACTATATCTTGGTAAATTTGCCTCAGTAAGTCTTTATGGTTATCACGTGGCTCTGTACACGGTTATATACAGGAAGAAAAGTAAAATACATTGTCAAACCACTAGCCTATGTGATCCTCAAGAACTAGAGCTGAGTCTTAATTTTTCCATTTTTAGCACATACACAGTACAGTGTCTAGCACATTGTAGGAGCTCAAGAAGTCTTTCATAATCAAAGGCTCTGGGGTCCTTGGTTCTTCGAGAATCCTGTAGTTATTGCCCGTATTCTGTCAGCAGATTCCAGTGTCAAAACAGATGACTCTGTGGGCTAGTGTCTGGTAGGTGCTTGATAAATGTTGAATGAAAGAATCTATTGTTTTAATACATCCCGACTCATTGTCTCCATTGGCAGTTTGCCTTGCTATGTGGAGTATGTTATCAATTACTTATTCCTCAGAAACTTTCCACAAATTATCAACATCATTATAAATTCAAAAGAGGTAATGTAGTCAACTATGAATTATACACGTCTGGATTATCCATACTGCCTTTGATTT